AAGCAGCAATATTGCCTACACACACACGAATATAGATGTGATCAGATTTTAATAGCGTAGTTGGAGGCGCCTTTATGCTTGTATATACATGTACAATTTGTCTAATGCAATTCGAAGGTGCACTAACTTTCGTCGAGGTGCATTGGAATTATTTAACGGTGAATCGGCAGCTTTAGCTTCATATATTTATTTTCTTACACCGATCTTCAATTTGCACTGTCAAACCCTTTAAAATGTAGGGTTATTTTAGATAGATTTAAACAAATTGTAATTGGATAGTCTTTTAAAGAATTTAAAATATTTATAATATAGAAAAAGTGAATTAATTGCTTGAAACATTGACCAAAACAGCCAGCTAAGAAACAAAATATGAAAACTGTAATACGCCATATTGCGGGGGACTTTACTGATTATTAATGTACGTATTCCCATCTTATTTAACATTCATTTCTGAAATCAGCAATCTAAAAACGTAGTACATCCCTAGAAGACTGCGTCTGCAAACAATGTGTGTTTGATAAGAATTGGTTAATAGGGTGAACTGACCATGTTATTAATTCTACGCGTTTGTTGTTTTTGAGTCGCCCAGGTGAATACGTACTATCGATCAAATGATGCTGTCATACTGTGTGTGCTTTTACATGCTTCATACACTCAAATACTTATCAAAGCCTGGACATTTCAACGCGTTGTACTCACGTCGTATATTGAAGTACATAGTTATTATTTTTTCATAAAAACGAACATTCGTCATGTTGGTGATATCTGAAGTGCGCAGGCAAACACAATGGTGTCACGTTCACCAGATGTAGCTATAATTACACGAGTGCCTGATGAATAAAAAAATTTGATTTTTTTTGTCGTTGTCTGACTATCGTTTCTCTCATCACTGACAACTTCGGCATTGTACAGTTATGAAAAAAATGCTTAACGAGTTGATTGTACAATTAAGTAGCTTTGATAAATGCCAAAGCCTTGTATCAGCGTTGTATTTTTTTAACTCGTCACTCGTAGACTGACGATCATATTTGTCCTATTGTTTCTCATTTCGTCATGTCGTACTGAACTCCTTCAGACAGCAGAACAATAATTCTGAACATGATTCACATAAACACGCGCGCATTTGATGTCATAATATAATTTTGGTATAATCCTATGATAGCGGGATTAACACATCATTTGTTTACATTTGGTTTATAAATCAGGTGCCCGATGACGTACATCATGACTACCATCACCATACATTACCTATATGCAATGTAGAGGCTGTTTAATTGCGTTTTGAGGTTGGAAAGCCGGTGGCGTACATTCCTCTCAAACTACAGATCATTTTATAAACCTTCGTGACCGTGACCTCTGTTAATGTAGCAAACAGGGGAATGATATTACAAAAATATTAATACTTGCCGTTCTCGGTTTTAGCACACGCTGTGAACTATGGAATCGTTGGCGTGTTCATAATCAGCGTAGAAATGGCTTTAGATTTTCAGGATAGAGAGGACAATACTTTCGATTCGCATACCGCATCACGTACGGATGTAATTGTTCAACTGTGGATTCCATTCAGCCATTGTCGACCGTTTTCCACCAATCCACGAGTCATGTGCTCAGTCTCATTGCTGCTGTCGGTAAGTTCGGTACGCGTGATGGAGACAATCGGTAGACGTGGCAAATCAACCGAACAGCATATGTTTTGCTTAGCGAAAACGCAGAAAAAAACTCTCTCATAGGCGGCGGGATGCCGTAATAAGACAACACGCTGTGAGCAATGAACCGTTGAAAGATTTGCGGATATAGATCCACTATTATCCGATACAAATATCAGAAAACAGCGTGGTGCCAATTCTGAAGCGATGTCTATTTCGCATCCTACCGTCGCTGAGGGCGTCATCACGCATTCCGTGTTGATAGAAATAGTGTAAAAGTATTGTATCGATATTTAACCTACTTTAGGGAAATTTTTGTAGGTGTTTTGTTTACTATGAAGTAACGGAATTTGTATGTGATAAATACCTAACGCCGAGTTTGCTCAATATCTCACCTATCTATAGAACATAAGTGACGAGGTTCAAAAACTAGATGCATGTCACAAAACGTGCGAGCATGTTTATAAATATAATGTATTCGACTGGCCGATATTTTTCGCTTCAGAGTGACATTCGCATTACAGTGATTGAATTATTCGATCTGGAAAACTATTTGAGATGCACAACTGCTTGGAGGGGAATAGGAAACGTTAAAGGAAAGGCAAATAACTACCTTAGTGAAAAAGCTCTACACAAATATAAGTAAAGTGAGTGAGTGAGTGAGTGAGTGAGTGAGTGAGTGAGTGAGTGAGTGAGTGAGTGAGTGAGTGAGTGAGGTGAGGTGAGGTGAGTGAGTGAGTGAGTGAGTGAGTGAGTGAGTGAGTGAGTGAGTGGTGAGTGAGTGAGTGAGTGAGTGAGTGAGTGAGTGAGTGAGTGAGTGAGTGAGTGAGTGAGTGAGAGAGTGGGTTTTGTGGGTGGTAGGGTGGGTGAGTGAGTGAATTCATTCATTCGTTCGTTGGTTCTTTCGTTGGTTCTTTCGTTCGTTCATCCTAAATATGCCATACTTCAGGTGTAACGAGTGTCCAATCCTTAACAATAAAATCGGAATTTGTGTAGAATGTTGATATTAATGAAACGGTGTTTGGATCGTCGGCGTGTTTAAGTTTATGTAGTGCGTGTGTTAAATAAAGGCTGTCTAAAAAGACACGGAAATGAAACAACACGATGAACGTGCATGTGTACACGAAATCGAAGCAATGGTGCGCGGTTGCAAACGTAATTTGTATTTTCTTTGGCATAGTCATACGTCTGCTCTGAGCCGGGGTCATCGTAGTTACAACGCATGAAAGGAAAACGCAGTTACAAAAACAGTGTTTGCACGTTATCATTGAGACACACATTTTGTCATTTGTCATACCGCTCATTTAACAGTCACGCTCTACAACCATTATTGTTCCAGGGACATTTTGTGTGAGTAATAAATTTAAAAACACAAAACTATTTCGCCATTGTCTATTTGTACGTTATTCGCAAATATCCTATTGTCTAATATCAAATAGTCTGTCCGTAAACCTTCAGAATCTTAATATTGTCTGAAATAGAGCATTCATGGTACGAGTGTGATTGCTTTAATTATATTGTTGTTTTGCGATACTGATTCTTCAAGAAAAACGCAATACCATGTACAAAACGCGTTGTGGTACACAACAGCGTCGTCGTAACGGGTTACAGTGCGTACATAGACTAAATGCCTCTATTAAATTCCACGACAGCCTTGCTTTTATGCAAAACCAGTCAATGCAAATGTTACGAGTTGACTGGAAACCAAGGCGCGTATTTATTGTAGGCGAGCCCTTACGGTGGATTATTCGCGGAATTATGGGGGTTGAAAATGTCTCGCTAAGAACCTCTCCAGTTGGTGTGATTGATTCACAACCCTTAAATCCGCCACCAGAATCACTGGTTTGTTAGAGAGTATTCTGTAAAAAAAAATGCTACTTCAAACTGCTTTTTGAAATATAAAAATAAGCGACCACAAGGTAAATA